AAGTATAAAATTTATTTCAATCTATTTATCTACTAATCTTTTTAGTTTTCTTTTATTTATTTAGATACAATGAGTTTTATTGATTTTTAATTATTTATTTTTAAAAATGCATATCAATAATAAAATATAAATTTTTTTTTAATTGTAACTTTCCTTATCTACAAGTAGAATAGAACTTCAATCATCTATGTTAGCTACTATTTGACCTCATAAAAACGTCATACCTAATTCAATCATTATAAATTAATTATAATTATATTCTACTTTGTATGATTATAATTGACTTCATTCATTATTTCTTTTTTTAGAGATTACAGTAAAATAATCAAGTACTCAAAAATTATTCTAATTACCAACCTCATATTTAAGTTAAATTTCTTTCTATTATTGTAAACATAAATGATTAAATCTCAAATTCATTTCATTCTAATATCAAAAAAGATATTTTTCTAATTAAAAATAATAGTAATTTTACAGGATAGATTATTTTATCTTATATATGTATGTATAGTTAAAATACATAATATATATCCATGCAAATATATATTTACTATAACTGTAATGATAAGAATTTTATAATAACCATTGTTTGTGAGAGTCATCTTGTTCTAAAGAGTTATGCTACTTTAATTTTGTCTATACTTTAAATATTGATTCTTTAGTTGTCTCTAAGTGTAGAAATAAAAAAAGGAAACTTGAAAAGGGAGACATTAATACCTTTATAGGCTAGAGTTTTTGGGTTGTTTTAATTACTAAGTAATTCTGTTATGATTTTTAATTAAGGGAAGTTAATATAATTTGTTAGTATATCATATATATTGAATTGGTTAATATTAAGTTATAGTTTATATCAAATATAATTAATCTTTTTAAATGGAATAATAATGATATTAATTTCTTCTCACTTTAATCTTTATAAATTAAATTTTATCCAAAGTTAAGAATCTATCTTAATAATTATGAATAATAATAGGATTATATGAATGAAAGATAGGTGAGAGAAAAAAAGAGGCAAAAATAAAATTAATTAATTTGCCTGATTTTACTAAATTTTATCAAAATTCTAATATTATATATTAAGAGAAAATTCACTAGAGGGAATTACATATTTTTAATTAAATAATTTATATTGGGCAATTTACTGTTAAAAAATTTTTAAAAAGTTAACATATTGTCTCTCTGGGGGTAGAGCTATTATTTTATAATATATCATAATATATAGTTAAGTATTACATTTTAATGAATAATTAAAAATTATGGTTTGATTTTAACGTGTAAAAAATGAATAAAAAAAATATGAAAAACATAAGTTTGATTGATAATATTTGATAATTTTAATATTAAGTCAAAATATTAAATTAGAAGAAATAAAAACCAAAATGACTGAACCAAAAAATGCCATTTAAGCCCAATAATATGCCTGAGTTGAGTAGCAACCACTAAGGTTGGTGTTGCAAGTTCCCCATTTCACACTTGGAACCCATTTTTTTGTTTAAGGATCGCATTACAGAAGTACTTATCTTAAATCGTAGTGTCTCTATTTTTAGCTTAACCAATCTATTTTAAATTTAATTTATTCTGTCTAATCTTAATTTTCAAAACAATTTCTGGATATTTTCTCTAGATTTTCATTATAAAACACTTCTTAGCCTGTTGTATGTTTATTTTAGAAAGCTGGTGGCTGATACCCTTTTATGTTTGCTAGGCCAAACACAGAGCTGAATCCAAATGACTAAA